TGGTCCTTGAGTTGAGCTTACAGGGCTGGAACAAGGGATCGCTGTGACGTAGCGAGCCCTCCTTCCCCGGTAATGGCTAGCCCTGTAGCCCCCGTCGTATCTGCCTCTCCCGTACATGACTGGAATGCTCTGGCCCGCCCCCATCCCAGAAGGCCCTTTCCCCCCTCCCACAGCTCCCGCTCCGCCTGGCAGGACACATCTATCACTCATTCTAGGATGAGGGGTAGGCCTGGGTCCCCCTACCATTTCTGCTTGTGCACTCAGTGGGGGAGGCACCAGGCCACGCCCTCAATCCTCTTAGATGCACTCTCAATCACTCTCTCATATATATAATTTGAATAGCAGCTGAAAACTAATATTAGAATAACACTTGAGATGGAACAATTGAAAAATGACATTTAGAAATGTAAAAAGAATGCATTGTCCAAGTAGCATTTTTCTAACTGAAAATACTGTTTTGTAATTTATTATACTTGTATGTTGCTACAAGTATGTTGCTATAAGACATTCTGGATTTCCAGCAAATTATAGCATGTCATATGGATTGTGTGATTACAGAAAAGTATTAATGTATGACAAGCAATGGCTAATGTTTGCATGTGCGTTTAAATGCCTTTGGAAATCTTTTTTAAAAATATATCCTAAATCCTTGATTAGGATCTCTGTCCTATAGGTACTTTTAGGTGGCGGCAACAATATCACACAAATGTCACAATATACAGTACACTCGTTTCCCAATGTCTTTACAAGTATGTAAACACACAACATTGTTATACATGTCTCAGCATTGTTCATCCCCCCCCCCAATGTGAAATTTAGCATGATAAGCATTTCTGTTTAACTGAAATTTTAATCAACTGAATTTTTTGTATGTCCCATTTCAAGCATCCTATTCAACTAAGATAACATGTTTCTCATTCATAGCAATGTCAAGCTACCTCTTTATTATTAAGTATGAACTGCCAGAAGTAATCCGTGCATTTTTAGGACTCGAAGAGAATTCTGGGTATGTTTTTGCTTATGCTTATTTTTATATATTTATTAAAAACCATCTATTTATGAGATTAATTAATTCATATTTTATTTCAAACTAGAGAATGGTATCTGAATGGCAACTATCTTGTTATATTTGTGAGCATTGGAATTATTCTCCCCCTTTCACTACTAAAAAATTTAGGTAAGCAATTACTTATTCAAATATATAGTTTATCTTTAACAAATAGAAAATTGTACTATCATTTCATTCTTCAAATAACTATACATTCACTTATTATTTTAAAGGTTATCTTGGTTATACAAGTGGATTTTCGCTTACTTGTATGGTATTCTTTGTCAGTGTGGTAAGTATTTATACCAAATGTAGAGAAAATGTGCACAATCTTTACATCAGTCTTCTCTAATTGATTCCAGAAGGTTTTGGAACTAGAAGTTCCAGACATCTAATTCCCACAACACTGTCAAACTATTTAGTAAGGCTGCATTACTATTATTCTTCTCATCTTTCCTATTATCTATCTCCTTTTCTACTTATAACTATAATTTTATTGCTTGTATCTTTACAACTTATATTGTTTTATTTAGTTTCCTAGTATGATTTATGTTGCTTGCTTATGTAGCATCCTATGACTATCACTAAGTGTTGTATCTTATACTTTATGATGAACGTATTTTATGATGACTGTGATCATCACATAGCTTTTATGTACACTGAGAGCTTATACACCAAAGACAAATTCCTTGTGTGTCCAATCACACTTGGCCAATAAATAGCAATAGCAATAGCAGTTAGACTTATATACCGCTTCATAGGGCTTTCAGCCCTCTCTAAGTGGTTTACAGAGTCAGCATATTGCCCCCAACAATAAGGTGACCAGATTTTCAGATTGGAAAAGAGGGACACCCTTGACCGGG